TGGAACTGCAGGCAGGGTATATCCAGTGGCCCTGAGAAACCGGATAATTACACCATTTGATTTTTTGAGGGAAACCAAACCATTGATTTCTACTGTTAATCCCATGTTCAAGATAATTATTTCATGTATAATCATACTGTATGTACATGTACATACATACATACATACATACATACATACATACATACATACATAGATTATACAGATATCATGATGAGTAGTGAAGCAGACAGCACCGCCTGCAAAACTGATTCAGAGGTGCAGCAAGAGCTGCAAAAGTCGGGTATGCCGAGTCAGGTGAGGGATCCTAGGGGTATAGCCTGGGCATTCCCCACGCGTTTGGAGACCACATTTCCAGAATTTAAATCAGATGTGCGTTTATTCTTAGTGTTGCTATTATTATTGTTGTTATTGTTGTTATTGTTATTATTAAATAACTAACTAACTAACTAAATAAATACATATATATATATACATAGATGTGCAATTCAATTTCCTTTTTGCATGAAAAGGCTTTTGGATTGCAGAAATCGGTCATTTTTCTCCAGGCGTGTTGATGATATGAAGCGACTGGTGACTTGTGTTCCAATTGAATCCCAGTTATTTGTATGTACAGAATGATCAATGTTAATGTAATATATATATATATTTGTATATATATATATATATGTATGGTCATACATATATGTATGTATGTATGTATATATATGTAATATATTTGTATAATATATATATAGAATATATAGAATATATAGAATATATAGAATATATAGAATATATAGAATATATAGAATATATAGAATATATAGAATATATAGAATATATAGAATATATACACACCTAGACCCTCCAAGTACCTAGAAAACTGGGCAATATACCCATGATTTTGGGATGTCTATCATTTTTCATGTCTACTTTGGAGGGTCGAGGTCTCCAACTCTTTTGGCACCTCTCAGGACGCGGGAAAACGCGGCTTTTCGCATCACCTCTCGGAGAAGGTCCTTGGGGGACGGTAACCAATAAACCTCTGGGGATGTCTATAGCCATTGGTGTTTACCATTGTTTACCACATTCCAAGCCAATATTGGCGGCCAATACAAGCCATATTGATGAAGCTGATGCAGCTAGAATGATCTGGGAACTGGTTGAAGAGAGTTGTCCAGCGGCAAGAAACTTGAAGGCAGCCAAGGCATTTGAGAAAGTCACCACAGATCATTTCGGAACGTTTGTCAAAATGGGTCAACATATGGAAATTCAGAATCAACATGAATCAACCATGGAACCCATGATTTCGACAGACAATCCAAGGTCCCAAAGGTCCAAGGCAGGTCCCTGCGGCACCACGCCACGGTGCCAGGAAGGAAGTGATGACGCTGCCACGGTGCCTGTGGATTTGTTGTCTTTGTCCTCTCTACTGTCACAGGCGAACTGGGAACTGCACGTGTCATCTCATGTCTTTTCATGTCGCATTGTGCATGGTTATGACATCACATCACATCATATCCTACAATATAATCAACATTAATCAACATAGCGCTAATACTCCTTTGTGTGTATTATTGTGTATCATTTGTTTATTTATTTATCTATTTATTTATTTATTGTTACTGTAATACCCCCTACTACTATTTTCATTGTTATTTTTATTTGTATGTCAGAAAAATACGTGTTTTCATACCAGTATATACTATTATTACATAAATCTGTGATGAAGACATGTGGATTTCTAAGTCCTCAGTTCTGAGCCTGCCAGATCTGCCAGGGATTTGAAGAGGCTCCAGCCCGACGCGCCCTGCGGCTTCATAGCAACCGCACACAGGCCATGCACGAAGTCGTTGGGGCCATCCACCATCAAAACTCGGGGGATTCTTCTTGGAGAATCCCGTTGAAGGAAGCACCACTCCTGAAAATAAGAGGCCTCCAGGCCTCCAGAAACTAGACACCCAGATATGGCTATGGATCAATACCTATACATACCATTTTTAGTGGGATGAACATCCATTTACCAGCTATTTTGATGTTCACCAGGGGTACAAGGTTTTGACACATCCCCATATGATGATATATGATGACTATTTTCCAAGAGCTATATGTGTTTTTGTTATATTTGTTCATCTGAATACTCTGCAGGTTGCTCACCAGGGGAGACCAGCTGAGATCTCTGCCAGGAAGCTTTGGATTGGCTAGTGAGAGGTCAGCCAAAGTCGCAGTCGGACCCGACCTCAAGGTGACTGAAGATGATGGATGCTGATTTCTGTCAGAGGGTCATACAGACCTCCTACTGTAATTGCAACCCCAAACGGGTTTCAAAGGTTTGGAGCTCCCACTGTAAAAAACCAGAAACGTTGGGACCCTGGCGTGCCTCGAACCGAGGAGGGTGTGCGAATGCCAACCACTTTGAAACGGACCACAGCATCCGAGGCGAGGATTGTGAGCTTGGGCAGTGGGGATCAGCTACATCCCAAGGAGATCCCATGATAGCCAACCAAGCTATAGGAATTCCATGGAATTCCCAAAACGCTTCGATCCATTGGGGATCACCGGGATCCATTGGGGATCCCGCTCCAGCTGTTCCAGGACTCGGAGCGATGATGGAGGCTTGGTGGCACCGGATGCACCGGAGATCCTCACATTGCTTGATCGCCTCGAATCAAACATGGCTTGCTGGAACGTCCACCATTGAGTTCGATGGTTTTCCCATGTTTTCCCAGCTCCAAACCTGGTCCATTTCCGGATTTCCCAGCCATGTTGAATTACCAACATTAAATCATATTAAATCAATATTACCATTCCCATCTACCGATGAAAAATCCACATCTTTGGCAGCCTTTGCATCCACAAAAAAACAGCTGTCGCCCAGGGGCCAATTTGCGGATCGGTCCAGTCGCCGCGGCGCTGACGCGTGCCATGGGAGTTGGATGTGTTTCGGGTCCTTCGTTGATCAATCATCGCCCTCAAAGATATGCAAAACGATGCAAAGGCATTCCAAATCCTTAGAAAATCACATTAATACATCTTGGTTTACCACTTTGGCACTTTTTTTAAATTCGAATTTAGGTTGGTGCCTTGACATGAAAGGGACGTGAGGCCCCTGAGAACCCATTCTGTACTGCAACTTGCCTTCACCCCAGGCATTCCTGTATCCTTTCAAGAGAGTTTCACGACTATCGAAGCAGCGGAAAGAAAATAAACCATCCGTTTTGCAATGCCAGGAGCAAACGTTGGCGCGGTGCACCAGCGCAACATCCAACAAGAAGTACGTGCTGTCCGACAGTCCCACATGAGACCAATGCCGCTGTGAACGAGAGCCATCGAAAAGGGCCATGCCATGATGGTGGAATAGTGTGAATTCTGACAACCTCACTACAAGGTTGCCTATGTTACCTTCCAAATTGAATTCAAATGGTGGTCAGTAATAGGAACTGCCCCGAACATATCTTACCCATTTTGGCTTAGCCAGACAACTGAATCTGATGCTTTGCCGATCCGTCAGCAGGGCATGACTTGATGATGACTCATACAGGCACCGAGGGTACCCAAGTTCAGGAAGCGGCAGATGCTAGTCGTCCCTCCCACGTGCTGAATCACCGAACCTCACTATTTTTGATGATATGAGGTATCTGAAACTCGTAGTTTGAAACAAAAACGGGGCATTTTCTGTTGGCTTGATTTTCTGCGGCATGCGTGGGAGCTTTGGCTTACGAACACATTGCCAAGTGCATGAAAGGGATCACATACACAAACAGAAAACCACGTGAATTGCGAAGCCTGCAGCATCACATCAAGATAGAAAATCTGGAAGGCTCAAAATTGATTTACCACCACACATCCAAACACCTTTGATGATTGAATGCCCAAAATGCAAAACTTGGGATATGGATACCCCATGGTTGGCACATCTTGACCTGCCAATGCCAAAAACACATGGCAGAGGCCGTGCGAACCTCACATGATCCAAGCTGGCCATGGAAAATTCGCAAATTCGCAGATGTTTTTCCAGATTTCTCCGTAAAAAAAGAGGATTTTCTGATGGATTTTCCCCTTGACAGATACGATTACTATGATTACAAGAGGGTAAAACATGGAAATGATGAAATATCAGCAAAACTATGTGGCCTTCCAGATTTGCCCATCCCATTGCAAACATTTGCAAACCATTCCACACTTTTCTGTCACAAAGTGGCTCATGTGGCGGCTTTTCGGCCTTCTGGGTGTGGTGGTCTGGGCTCCAAGTTTGTCTGACGTCCGGTTCAGAAACCATAAGACCTGAGAGATGAGTGAATTCAAGCAAGAAAAAGCAACAAACCAGTGATAACCAGTGTACCTGCAAAACTGATGAAGTCGATGTTGTCACCAATAAAAGTGATTGATGGCTTCGAATCATAAAATCGACCCTTGGAGATCAAGCAACAGCACTGGGATCGCAGCCTCAAACCATCTCTGGTTGATGGGATGATGTCGTACAACGATTCCGCTTTGGACGTATCACCCGTTTTTAGTTGCCACAAAGGTTGATATCCCATTGTGAATGAGCCATTGATGAGCCATTCATATTCCATTCATATTCCATTCATATTCCATTCATATTCCATTCATATTCCATTGCAACAGGCATTTTGAATGGCATCATCTTGAGGCCTCTGCAGCGATCCCTGGATTCGAACATGAGGACGTCAGTGACCTGATTGGAATTGGAAGTCAGGCGGGTTTTTCTTTCCGTGGGTTGGAACACGAAGGGTTGTTGAGTGTGTCGATTTCATGTGATTTCCCATGATGATACAATAAACAATAGGGCAATAGGGTATTCAATTTCCCAAGGCGTGTTTAGTGTGTTGATTTCATGTTCTTCAATTTGATACAATGTTACATATGTTACATTGAATACGTTTGAATACCTTGGTCTTTTCAGGTGAGTGGTTCGGATTTCTACATGTTCCATCTCCAAGATGATCCACATTTCCACCTTATCCAAGCCGCAGCTTGGCGGCCCGAGCTAGATGAAGGCCCCATGTCATTCCATGGCTGATCTTAGGCCGGTCTTCGGGGTTGGGGCTGGGGTCAGCAGTTCCAAACCCAAGCTGTAGATGTTGGTCAATCCATGTTTATTACATGATTTTCATACTGGTTCAGAAGCCAATCAAAAGATGGAAGTTTGATGAATTTGATTGAATTTTCAGGTGCTAAGATCCATCTATCCAATAAATGACGGGAGTAGTCCTTCGGTCCTTGGGTACTCCATAGCCTTGAACCCAGGTGGTGAGGATGCAACCTCGCTCGCGTGCAGAACGACAAAGGGCGCGTTGTCTCAGCTGGGGGGTCGGAGGGAACAGCCCATGGGGAAAATTATGGAGAATTGATTGTATCCCCAAAAAATATCCAGATCCATTTATCCACCAATTATAGATCCATTGATGGAAAATTGATGTAACCTTTGAGGGAGATGTGATCCCTGAATTCACAGGATTGCTTCTAAGGTGCCGAAGGACTTCGATTCACCTGATTATGAAATATCCAGCCCAGGGGTGTGGTCTTCAATCAAGGTTTCAGCCAAACAACTGAATATAGTGCTTATGGCTTATGGAGTTCAAGCTCCCCAAAGCCCAGTGGCTTTCAGTGGTTTTCAGTGATTTCATTGAATTCATTGCTTCGAGATGTTTCGAGAATGGGATTTGCGGCAAATCTTGGTAGCCAAGCACCGGTTTCAACGTGAGACCATGCAGGAAGCTGCAGCTGCGGCTGCTGTCACAGAGGAGTCTTTACAGCAGGAGTGATGTGCTCTGCTTGAAAGAACCTGGGTCTAGATCTGTCCAAAAATGGAGCCCCAGAAATCATCAGAAATCGCCATTCTGCATGAGACAATGATGATAAACTTTAGGGGTACATTGGTACATCATGTTTGGAGGAACCTGGAGCAGAACGGCAATCCAAACTACTCAGCTATCAATTTTCCTTCCCAAATGGACGACCATCAGAGGATTGGAAGGTCCCGGCTTTGGATTGTGCCCCTGCTTCTGTGAATGAAACGTTTCAACTGGGCCATCCCTTCCTTTGCATCCTGAAAGGCCCGATGGGTTCGTCCAAGAAAGGGGCATAGCGGCATACTGAACCTCAACATGTCAATGCAAATGGGGATATTGGTGACATTGATGGTCAACCCTCAGCTTTTGGAGTACAGCAACCCCCAAAAAGAGAGAAAAGCAAAATCCTGCCTATCGAATCCTATACAGTAGACTAGTGGCAAATTACATGTCCATCTTTTAAAGAGTTTGTTTGAGTCCAATTGCCCCGCAGGAATGGAGCGTTCAACGAGAGCTCCATTTGCAGAACCGGTGGGCGGCTTAGCCAGTGGTGAAAAACGTCTCTTTTCACAGGGAGCAATCCAACCCACTATAGTAGGGAGGGGTAAATGGGCCATTTTACCTCTATATAATTCTATATATTTATCCAATTATATCCACTTTACCCCTCTTTGTACTTGGTGTTGGGAGCCCTGTGTCATTCCAATGTTGCGCATGGGATCACTTGGCAAGGGCGGTGGAGAGATTTCGAGACAAGGAGAAGGAGGTCGAACTGGGGCTGGGCTGGGGTCGTGGCCGTCGAAGGCCATCAAGCACCAAATTACTGGCTGCTGCATTACTCTAAGACTCACATTGTGAGTGACATTTTTACTTGGGGATTTTCCATGGCGAAATGTTAAATAACCAGATGATACCACTGTTTCTGATTGGAAGACGTTTTTACTGTGAGTGACAACAAAAGCACCGGGTTTTTGGGATGATATTCGGTGATCAGAAATGAATGATCTGGGCCGGTTTTTGCGATTGTGGGTGAGAGTCTTCTCCTCAGACAAAGAGGGTAAGCTATTTTCACGAGCTTGGCAGTGCTACCAGTGGATTCTAGCGGAGCACTGCTTTTTTCAATCTGATAGAACAAGTTGAGGAAAAGCCATGGAAAAGCCATGCCCGATGGCCCGATGGTGGAGTTTAGTACGACATTCGGTGAACAACATCAGGTGCAACCGGTAACCCCTGGTATTTGGGTTGTGAAGTGAATTTGGTTCCTGAGATTTGACCCCAAATCATCCAGTGTTCGGCCCGTTGTGTTGACCGTGGTTGTAACCCAACCCCGTTAGCATCCATTAATCATCATGAAAATCCCATCCCCCCAAGAGTAAATGCTTGATTTAGTACGAACAATATCCATCAATATCCATCAATATCCATTAATATCCATTAATATATATTAATATCCATTAATCCCACTCATATCCAGTAGTAAATACACCCAAGCGAAGCCCTGAGTACACCAGATCTACGGTGATCTACGCGTCTTGGCCCAGTCCTGGTGCGTTGCAGGTGCAACACATGGAGGCAGCTGCCGATTTGATGCCAGAAGGCTCTGAGGAGCGTGGAGACTTGCCGGGAGCTCTCAGCGGATGACTTGGATGACTTGGATGACTTGGATGACTTGGATGACTTGGATGACTTAGGTGCCAGGATTTCATGGTGTTTTTCCAATGAATTTCATATTTTGAAGATTTTTGAAGAACTCAAAAGGATCTTTTTGATTTTTTTTGGGGCTGTGGATTGCTATAAACCATCTCTTGGGAGGATGAATCCCAACTCTGCATGAAGTCTCAGGATGCGGCAGGCCGTACATCTCCGTGTCCGTGTCTCAGTGAAAAAAACCGGCGGTTCTCAAAAAGGAACACGGCTGGAATTCAGATCCAGATGGTTTGCTGTTTAATGTTTGAACATCCAAATTTTGGTTTGGCTCAAAGCCGGTGCGTGGATTTTTGCAGGACAAAATATAGAATCCACTTTTCAGACAAACCCAAGTGGCTTTTCCAGTGGGCAAATTCATGCAACAGTTCTTGAGTTCAGACACTTGAGATCATTTGAGCAGTGTTAAAAGCTTAAAACCCCCCTGTTGGTTGATAAAGATATAGAGAAATATAGGGGAGTACACTATCCAATTAATATTGGAGATGACCATAATCCATTGGGAATCTTGTTCTGAACCAGTATAGTAAACAGGACCAAAAGGTGGGACTATGCAGATACCACGTATGTTTCGAGGTCGAGTTGGAGCGGGAACAAGCCAAGAACCCTGAACTGAAGCAGCTTCTGAAGGTGCCGCCGGCAGCCGGATGGGTGTTCTTCTTGGATCTTCCATCTTCATCCTATGTTTATTCAATGGTTAAGAACATTTAAAAAGCATGGTTATTATATAATGGTTTATTAGTTGTTACTTAGTTAACTTGTAGGTTTACGACCCAGATATCAATGATGATCACCTGTAGATGGAAAATAGAGTCATAACCCAAGTGGGATATCACAAGTGATAACATGTGAGAACCATGATTGATTAAGTGGCCCAGATATAAATGGGACAAGCCCAATTGTTAACAATAAGGAGCTTACTAAGGGCCAAGGCTTCCATTTTTTCGCCCCAGGCGGAGGCCGAGGCAGCAGCGCAAGCAGCTAATGACAAGTCCACGCCTGCCACGGAGCGGGAACTGCTGGTTGTTTTTCTCATTTGGAAGAGACCCCCCACCATTTAAGGTCCCTGAAATGAACAGATTCGGTGCTATAAGTCACAAAGTCCTGGGTACAAGAGTGGCAGGGTTTCTCGTGTTCACTTTATGGCCCATATGTACCATGATCCAACTACAAGCCACTGAAACTTGAAGCCCTGCAAACCACTGGTCAAATGTCATTGCGTGACGTGGTCAGCCGGGGAATGGGGAAGTTGCAGCGGTGTTTACAAGCACATGTTGCTTGTCGGGATTCTTGCATAGTACTCCCATCTCCCTCATATCCAATACCCCTAAATATTGCGCCCCAAAATGAACAGATTCAAAAAACCAGGGTTCGTTTAGGTATTTTATTCGGGGAAAGGTTGAGAGGATTACCCTCTGGTAAACTAACATAGCTATTGAAAATGACCCATTTTTTGTGGATTTACCTATAAAACATGGTGATTTTCCATAGCTATGTTAGTTTACCAGAGGGTAATCGGATGGGTTTCAAGCGAACTTTGGCGACCCTGGCGACCTCCACTTGTGACTTCTTGTTTTGGCACGCGAATGGCATCGCAGGAAGGGCCCAAGATTCCACGCCCTGCAGCCTTTGGTGCCGGTCACTGGGCTCACATGAAATCCCAAGTGTAGCCAGTTGGTTCACCGCTGAGGCAACAAACACACTGAATTTGTTGCATTTGTTGCCATCTTGGGGTGGCCTGGAATTTATTGGACTGGTTTCATTCCATTTTGGGATCCCAGGGGTGCAGTTTTGGTGAGGAAAAGATGCTGGAAAGGGTGCTCAGAGAGGACTTTTTGGTCCTGCTGGATCAGGTCAGGGTATCTGAAAACCGTGGGAAGTTGGTTTCAGGGCTGCCACTGGCCTTTCATCAATGATTAAAGTCATTCATTGATCAATGTTCCGTTCAGTTTCATTTTTTGTTGGCTTAGTTTGGGATACTGTCTAGCTGAAATCCCAATTCAAATCTGGGAGGCAATCCTGCGGGAGGACTATTTGGATTGCCAACTCAGGCTCCACAGAGGCGGGCGAAATACCCTTGTTGGTTACATTTGTGAGGAAAAGTTAGACGAAACACGATGCAATCTCATGACTTCTCTGGTGTTTTAGATGCTTCATCTGCTTCAAGTATTCATTCCTTGTTCATGCCTATACCAGTATCTACCTGACACATCCTGAGACGGCATTTTTCGGACTTGAGCTGAGACCAGCCACTTCCAGAGTTTCATGTTTCCTCCAACTCCGACATTCCAAGACACCTCGGCAGGTCGGGGCTGGCAGAACCCAGGTCTCCAGCTTTGCAGCAGACCTTGAAACCAGCTGCAGTTGCCGAAGGAAGGAGCTCTGCATCGCCACAACCAGTTCCACCAACCCGTCCCCAGCCGGCGCAGCCTGGACGACCTCATCCCATGGGACCACGGGCTGCACAGCCCCAGGCTGTGCAGGTGGCTGTGCCGGCGGTGCCGGCGGTGCCGCCGGTGCCGGTGCCGGCAACGCATGCGGTGGCACAGCCAACGTCGCCCAGTGGCCTTGAGAATTTGGGGAACCAGGATGCTGAGCGGCGCAGGCCGGGGTCAGAGATGAACATCCCAAGAATATCCAAAATCAAACAGTTGGGGTGTTCATCTAACCTATTTTTCTGCTGTTTTATGTTCACCAGCAGTGGACCAGCAGCCACCGGTAGCTTCGGTGGAAGCAACCAGATGCTTTGCCCTCGCGCTGCAATCTTTATAGATTTGCAGATCTTCATGGTAACTTCTGCATCACTTTTCATAGCATCCCCGTCCACGAGTCACATCGTTTTCGGTTTCGCAGGAAGCAGAATGAGGAGTTGAAGCGCATGCTGGAAGAGCAGATTGCAGAGAAGGAGCGGCAGAGGCAGGACGCACGTTCCCAGCGCCGCGGCGAAGGAGGAGACGTGCAGAATCCGATGGCTCCCTTGCAGGGTCGTAGTCCAGCGGTGCAGCCTGTCCGGCAGGCGATCGGGACACTGGGACTGGGGATGGAAGGTTTCATGGCCCAACATTGGCCAAGAAAATGTGGCGATGGACGAGAAATAAGGCTTCCCATTGACCAATTTGACAGATTTTGAACGTGAAGCTCAGTGGCTGCAGGACCTAAATCCCAGAGAGGCTCGACTGCAGAGCAGGCCTCCCTCCATTGGTCCTTAGGTCTCCAGCATTTGGATGATCGATATGATCGTGTGACCTGATGTCATGTGAAGTGGCAGCTTTTTTCAAGCAGTTTCCACATATTTCGCCTGCTACAGGGCCGCAGAACGACTTCGAGAAAAGGAGAGGGAGGCGCCCATGACTTGGTTGTGGCCACTTCAAACCTGGGGATGAGCTGAAATTTTCTGACACCTGTGGATCTTTGACACAGTGAAATTCATCTATAATCTGTTCCCCCTCAAAAAATGGCAAAGTAGGACAACGTGGGGGTGTTTGGGGAAGGTATGTTAGTATGGTCTTATAAATACGTAGACCGCATAGTCTGTATATAACAATGGATAACATTATAGAATTATAGACATATATATTCATATAATACAATACCGCATACTCTGTATAACAATGTATAACATTATATAATTATAGACATATAATGCACACTATGTCTATATAATATATATTATACATATACATACACATCGCATCCTTGTGAATATTGGTTCTACACACCTTTGAAAGAGTGATTGTGACCTGGCACTATCGCTTCCGCAGGTCTTGCAGGCAGAGGCCAGTGCCCGGCAGATGCCGGAGGGATCGGATCAGCGTGCCGATATGTCCGGCTTCCCAGCTGCGTCAGCTGCGTCCAGGATTCGCTGCACTGGAGTGTAAGAAGCCCAGCAACACCTGAGGCTTCGGCACGCCCTGCAACTTCGTGTCCCTTGGAGTGGAAATGGTTTGAAGTTGTTCAAAGTGTACCCGGAGGTTTGACTCAGTTCTTGGGACTGAACTATCCACTTTTGGAATTTAGAGTCGTCATCTTCTGCCTAATTGTTCCTGGGTTTCTCACTTTTGGTTGATTACACCATCCAAACTGATGGTGCCAAATTTTGTGCCCATCCACGCGAGCTTATCTTCTTGACTAGATTCTCATCCTTGCCGGTTACCTTGTTCTTTTTTGTGAAGTCTTGATTGTTGTTGCTTCAAACCGCAGTCTGCCCGAAAAAGATCCTCAGTCTTGATGATGAACTGTGGTCATCTGTGGTCCATTTTTACATATCTTAAACATTCTTAAACTATAAAATGGAATATTAAAACCACTTTTCATGTTGGCCATTAGGATACTGTGGTCCATTAAACCACTTTTCTGTTGGCGTCATGAGCTGCTTTCCCATGTTGGCATTTTACAGAATCCCTGATTCTGTCCAAGCAGGTGGACTTCGAGAGAGCCCAGGCTCGCAATCCTGAGCTGCGGCAGTTTATGGCACCAGAGCTACACCAGGACTTGCTGGAACTCAGAATTTCATCACTGATAGTCCCTGATGTCCATTGATATCTCTGATATGATATGAATTCTCAAAACTCGGATGTATTGGACAACTATATAAATGTTTAAATGATATTATAATATGATTATTAGAATTTATTAGATACATTTCTTTTTGCTCTTTCTAAACCGTCGTTGGTGTGTGGTACATGTTGTTTTGACTATCCACACGGATGATTCCAAGGGCCTGGCACCGAGAAAAACATCCACATCCCATTTTGGCCGATGGGATGAGTTGAATATGAACAGGATACTACGGTAAAATGACCATCAACGATTTATACAGAGGGGTTGCAACCCTAGTTTTTCTCTCAAATAGATTCATTGAACATCCTCAAGCATCGCCAGGACGTACCCTTGGGCCAACCAAGTCAACCTGCGATTCCCAGACAAGGCAGAGCAAAATCGGGTGATCATAGAAACTGACTGATGATTAACCAGTGAATGGAACGGGCTACAGCGGCTACAGTACTCGATTTTTAGACCAAGCCGTTCGTTTTTGCTGTTCTTCAGGCAGGGTGGCATGATGTTTCTCAGATTTAATCCCATCAAGCATTGACATGTTGCGGGTGCTTGAAGCAAGCGAGCCGCTTGCGGTACGGGGTTGGAACCCATTTTCATGGAAGGTTTGGTCATAGCGCATCCTTTGGATGCCTTCCCATGGTAAGACAGATTCAGAAACACCCTGCCATCTTTATTCAAGCATCAGGCACCTCAAAATTGATCAAAACGGCCTGGAGAATGTGACCAACATGATTCTTTGACGATCATTCTCCGCTTGTATTTCCAGTGTTTTCCATTGTGATATCCCCGGTCAGATGGTTGACCTTACATCATTAGAGCATTTTTTGATATTTTTTGTGGTTGTAGCCACTGTAGCCATCACTGCTGCAGCCTGCTCAAGATGGGGGCTTCCCTGGGCGGCACTGCGCCTGAATGGCAGAAACCGCGGACAGGGTCGACAGGGTCAGGGGAAGATATGAGAGGACGACCTATGAGGAAAGTCACGGCAGACAAGACCAATGGGTTTGAGATACTGTCGATCAAGGTCTCAGAGAACATGATGATGACGTCTATCCCTGAGGATAACATGGAAGAGGTAGCGGAGATCCTATATGATATCCATCATCCGTATTGTCCCCAACACGCTTGTGAAACACCCTGAGCAGCAGAGGGCTGTCAAAACAGGGTCGGCAGAGAATGGCAGAGCATGGCAGTGAATTTCTGAAGTGGAGATTTGTTTGCTTGCGAGAACGCCGGGTCCTTGCAAGTCCATTGTTAACAGTGTTTTCCCCATTCTTTGGGTGAAGCTCTGAATGAAACTTTTGAATCAGTTTGATGCAAGATGTGCGCCTGGCTTGTCTCAAAATGAATGCCCCAAACCGAAACCCTACAGATTTCCCATTTAGATTCTTGAAACATCTTGAACAAATTGTAATCAAATCATAATCATTTTGAGAAACTGCCATCAAGAACTGCCTGATTTTCCAGGTCTTGCCTCAGAATGAGCCAAACCTTATAGGGCAGTCACAGTCACCATCTTCCCCCTCCGAGATGATGCCCGGGCCCTCGGATTTTGTCAAGGAAAAAGAGTCCAGCGGCCGCAGTAGGTGACTACGGTCCAGACCAGAATGTCTTTTTTTGGGGGTTTCTCTGAAAATTGGGTACCCACCAAATTCCATGGGTTGGCATCACTTCCTCCATTCAATTGGATTCTTGGGGTACCTCCATTCTCAGACACACCCCTTTTTTAAGACATGAGAGAGAGAGAGAGAGGGAGACATTACTTTGATTTACTTTACCTAATGTATGGTCGCACAAGCATATATCCATAATACATACATGATCATACATGCATGTATACTGCATTTGATGTACTTGTAGTTTACGTATGTTTACATTTGCTTTGTACTTGTATGTAGATATTGTGTAACAGGCACACACACACACAGATACATACATTACACTACTATTGCCATTTCCAGTACCACTACCATGACCAAAACAATCCAACACCATACTCACACATACACACACACACATACGTAGTGTATCGTAGTGTATGAAGGTGTCACAGCCCAGAATCCTCCTCAGGTGTTGAACAATGCTGCAGCTGTGGCTGGCCCATTTGAATACTAGGGTGGAATAGAGTGGGATATATCGAGGCCAAGTAAGGACAGCCTTGCAACCCCTAAGTTGCGCAGTTATAAACCCTAAAGTCCCAGTAAAAACGATCAATCATGTATATATATATATATACATACGTATATACCCTCAGGCTTTCCTGGTCCGCACCGATTTTTTCCACTTAAACCCCACATCTTCGTAGTTCCCAATGGCTGTCCAGCCATGAGGGAAAACCTTGGCAGGTCATGGCGGTGAAGTTGGGCAGCCATGGCCACACGAGAGGACACTTGGTGTTCCATCCTAGGGGGATGATCCAAATTGACTAAGATATATATATATGATTATATATGATATTATGTGATTATATATGATTATATATGATTATATATGATTATATATGATTATATATGATTATATATGATTATATGTGATTATATATGATTATATATGATTATATATGATATTATGTGATTATATATGATTATATATGATATTATGTGATTATATATGATTATATATGATTATATATGATTATATATGATTTTATGTGATATTATGTGATTATATATGATTATATATGATATTATGTGATTATATATGATTATATATGATTATATATGATTATATATGATATTATGTGATTATATATGATTATATATGATTATATATGATATTATGTGATTATATATGATTATATATGATTTTATGTGATATTATGTGATTATATATGATTATATATGATTATATATGATATTATGTGATTATATATGATTATATGTGATTATATATGATTGCATTTGATTATATGTGATTATATGATTATATGTGATTATATGGGATGATATATGATTATATTTGATTGTATATGATTATATATGATTATATATGATATTATGTGATTATATATGATTATATATGGTTATATATGATTATATTTGA